ATAACTGATGTTTTTCTCTTTCCAGGTTAAACCCATGAAAATTAATGATGACCATTAAACTAAGCTTTGAACAAAGGAAATTCATTCTAAAATGCTACTGGAAGTGTGAAAACGCAGTTGAAGTGCAAGGACAGTTTGTGAGGGACTTCCAAATAGATCCAACAACGCAACTTACCATCACTCGAATTAGAGATGAGTTTGAAGCTGATGGGATTGTTCCTGTAGACCACGGACATCAACAAGCCCCACAAAGCAAGAAAGAACGCTTAAAACTTATTACCAAAGTCCAGGAAAATCTGTGCAGTAAGCGAGTCTTGGGGTTGGTATTTCAAAATCATTTGTCCAACGCAATTTCGAAGCGCTGGCAAATGAAAAGTTACATTCCAAGATTAGTCCAAGAGAATGATTCAAACCGAAGAGTGGAATTAGTTTCTACCTTGATAAGATCTTGCCAAACAGGTGAATTGGACGAAAGGGTTTCATAGAATACCTTCCGTGTTCACCACTTTTTTTATGGAGTCATTTAAAAGCCAAAGTCAGCGCAATGAAACCTGCTACAGTCGCTGAATTGAGAGCAGATAATAAACGAGAATACAGAAAAATACCAAACGAAATATTCGATGTTTTGATTCCATTGCTTTATATCTGCAGTGTCTGGAACAGAACGGATGTCAGTTTGAAAACACGCGTTAACGAAACAATAAAATAATGTCTTTAGATTCTATTAAATTTTGAAAATGAAATGTATTTTAATAAACACAGACTTTATATTTATTTAAAGTGTACATACATTTTTGGGATACCCTGTATATACCGGGAGTAACAGAAAAATTATCCAAATCGTGTAACAGCATAATTATCCATTCCACAAAATGTTTAATATCTAAAAAAAAACACACTGAACGAATTAAATGTCTTTTTCTCAGATTTTCGAAGAAGACGTTTAGCTATTTTGGCACCATTTGTCGTAAGAATTACTGAAATTCAGTTATTCAGATAAAAAGAGATCAAGTTTTGTGTCAGACCCGCTGTCTTTCCAGCTGAGCAATGGTGAGAGGAAAAAGATCCTTCAGGCCTTCAGTAATGGTACTATCATACTCTGGCATCCATCTTCAAGGTCTATTCAAGAACCATCAAGAGAACGGTGAATAAATTTAAAAAAGAGGGAACGATCGAAAGGAAAACTGGATCAGGAGGTCAAAACAGGAAGAGGGATCATCATGTCAACTTAGAGCTAATGATATCAATTAGAAAAGATCCAACTCAATTCATAAGATGCTTGGCATATTTTAACTTTATTTCATGAGCTTCCGATCCTTAGCTAAGATTAATTAATGATGAATATGTCGTTTTCGTTTGTGATGTATTTCATTACGATTCTTCTGTTAAGTAGAGTCTAATAGAGTCTAATCTAATAGTCTAATATATATATATATATATATATATATATATATATATATATATATATATATATATATATATATATATATATATAAAAAAGGCACGGTGGAGTATCGGAGGAATCGGGGGAAAGTAGAAAGTTATTTACCATAAATAGAAAAGGGGGAGAAAAATTTATTTTAAAACCAAGAGAAAATTAAGCTAGCAGTTTCAGTTCACTCCAGCAGTGCAGTCAACAAACATCTCATAAATTCTGGATTTTATAGATAATATTTTTATTTGAAATCAA